TAGATTCGAAAATTTTTCTATGCTACAGCCAATTAATACGTTTGAAAAATTTATTCTACGACAAATGTAATATCAACTGAACATGTCAACTTATTGCACAATAAATTTTTAGTTTTAAAGATTGGTAGCAATTGATTTGAAAATAAATAGTAGGTACACTACATACTCTAATTGTGTGTGACAACTTAAAAGGTTATAGATATCGTTACACCTTAAAAGAATTCTTAAAAATTCTTGAAAATTTCTCGTCGAGCAGCAAAGAAATTATTTGTTTCAATAATATATGAAGTGACAGATATAATAACAATAAGGTAAATTATTTTGAAATATAATATATCATAAGATCATTAAAGAAAATACAAAATCGCATTTAAAAATATAAATACTGTTATATTCTAATAATTGATTATGTAAATATATAACTTTAAAATACATATGCTGAGTATTGGATATATATATATATATATATATATATATATATATATATATATATATATATATATTATATGTAAATATATGAGGTATTCCATTTCAAATCGTGCGTGCATGCGTGCGTGCGTGTGTACGTGTATAGTTTATATATATAAAACCAGTATTGAACAATGTATATAAATTTTATATAAATTTAATATTGTATGTAGTTTTTAAAAAATTTATGTAAAATTTATATTAATTAGTTTGTATAAAATTTATACAAGATATAGTATAAAAAGGATGGGATCAATAAAATTATATATATATAGTTGTCTTAAAGAAAAAACTATATTTTATTTACATTAATTGATTTGTCTCATGTGCATAAAATATTAAGTATACGATGTATATAATATTATGTATATATAAAATGTTAAAATTACACAAAATTAAACATTTCACGAGATATTTTGTAATTTATGTCAAAATACTGTTTAAAATATTATAACTAAAAAAAGTATTTAATAAAAAAATATTTTTTTGTAATATTTTGAAAAGCTCTCGAGATAAGGTATAGAAAAATATCAAATAAAAATGTGGGTTTTCATTTAAAATTTTAAAGTTGACTTTGAGATTTTCTTTATAACTACACTTAAGATCAAATGTGTATTACCATTTCATATATTTTTTATATAATATATTTGTTACTATATTCTTGAAAAGAAATGATATCACTGCCAAAATATTTGCTGAAAATACAAAATAATATCAATTGATAATATATAATATATACCTATTAAATACATTGTCATATACATATAGATAATATAAAAATATATTTGTTTTAAAGATAAAATAATAATTTTAAATAGTTTTATGTGTTAATATAATTTTAATTTTTTTTTACAGTGGATTGATATTTGATTTTTATCGTTGAATATATATGATCCAACTGAATATATATGAGCAAAATATAGCATATTCAGGTATTATTTTATTTTTTATTTGAATTAATAATAAATATTTCACATAATAAGACAAATATATATAAATAATAAATAAGCTAATATATATAAATAATAAATAAGCTAATATATGTAAATAATAAATAAGCTAATAAAAATATTTTGTTTCAGGTTTGGTAGCCACTTATATTTTTTGGCTAAAACAAAGCTCCAATCCAGCTTTTGTAATTTGACAATTGGACATAATTGTGAAAATTTAGATAAAAATTTGACATAAATATTTGACATTATAGTTGTAACACTACAAGTATTATTTGATATTTTAATTGTTGATATTTGAAATTTGTAAGAAATTAATGAATGTTTGATTTACATTTAAATATTTTATTATCAAGAACACTATACATATACTTGTTACATAACAATTATATTCGCTATATAAAATTAAATTAAATTTTTATTTGAATGTTAAATTAATATTATCGTGTTATAGTTATTTATTATTAAATTGATATTTAATGTAAGTGCAATATTGAAATTTATAATTTAACAACTGTGTAAAATAAAAACAGTTATTTTATGTAATATTTTATTTAATTTTAAATCATCAGTGTGCTATTTTCATTTAAATAAAATTTAATAAAATTATATAATAGTCTGTTATTTAATTTATTAACTACAAATTTATTAACTAAAAATTAATTTAAAATTTATATAAACAAATATTTTGTTTGTATATACATTTATATTCGTTACATTTTATAATATTTAAATTTTATTGATCTGTGTAAACATTTAACAAAAAAGATTTAATTAAAATAATTTAAAAATGGGTAAACGTAAAGCTATTCGTACTCGAGAGGAAGAAGAAGAATTTCAGCGATTAAAGAGAGAACGAAAGGCTTTAAATCAACAAAAATACCGCGAGAGAAAAAAAGAAAATGCAACAAACAATATAGCTGAGTCATCTAAAGTTTGTGAATCAAGAAATTTATTAAATAATAGTTCATCAGTTGCAGTGTCTAAATCGCAAAATCCTTTGGTCACAAACAATATTTATCTTGCTTCATCAGTAATAAAATGTGTTATTACAACGTCGACTTTGAGCAATTCTGTTACTACAATTAACAACTGCATATCAAAGTTATCGAGCAATAGTTCTTTGATAACTTCAAATTCAAAACTTGATAACGATAATGTTAATATAATTAAAAAAACTGTCAACCATGAACAAAGTACACTTACAAGTGTTGAAAATACTACAGATTCAAGTCAATTAATTTCAGTAAATATAAATGATAATTTTTCCGAAATTGATAATATACAATTACAAAATATCACAGATAAAAGAAAAATGCAAAATTGTCGAGCCAATTATAAAGGATTTCAAAACATAAATTATCATAATATAAATCAACATTACATAGGAAAAATGGAAGTAGAGTGCAAATATTGTAAAGCAAAACATTTTCACGCTGAAAAAGTTTATAATAAATGTAATTCATTCAATGATTGTTGTAGTCATGGAAAAGTTATATTGGAATCTCTATCACCATTTCCTGATGAACTACAACAGTTATTTTTTGGAAATCATAAAAAATCTAAAGAGTTCTTTAAAAATCTGCGAAGTTATAATAGTGCATTTTCTTTTGTCTCTTTTAATGCTAACTTGGTTAATTTTAATGCACAAAGACGAAGTCCTTATTGCTTCAAAATTCAAGGTCAAATTTATTATCAAATTAATACTGCATTATATCCTGCTGCACAAGAACAATCAAGTTATTGACAGCTTTTCATTCTTGACGCTAACGAAGCTACAGAATGTCGTTTAAATGTAAATACAAATCTTGATGAAGAGTTATTACATACATTAGATGGTATTATTCGCAGCAATAATATGTTTGCTCAGTCATATCAAATGATGCATGAAGAAGTTTGTAATCAAGAAAATTCAGGTTTAAATGTGCCTAATTTAAAAATGGCATTCTTAAATAAGAAAACAGGTATTGATCGCGGAAGATATAATATTCAAAGAACTAACGAAGTTGCTGCAATTTTTTCAACTACTGCAGATGGAGATATTCCTGATTGTTATGTTACAATTAGAAACAAACGTGATAAAACTTTAAAATACGTTAGTACAATGGATCCAAACGTTGAACCTTGGATTTATCCAATGTATTATCCACATGGTACGCCAGGTTGGCACGATAATATTAAACAAATTAATGGAAAACGTGTAACTAGATCTATGTACATTCAATATCGAATAGCTATTCGTGACAATACTAATTTTTTTAATGGGTAAACGATTATTTCAACAATGGCTTGTTGACAATTATGTAAAAATAGAAAAAGACAGAATTAACTGGTGTAAAGAAAATCAAAAACAGTTGAGAGTGGAAAAGCATCAGGGACTAATCGATTATTTAGAAAAAAAAGCGACTGATGCTAATGCTCGTGTTGGACGAATAATGATACTTCCATCAACATTTATTGGTTCACCTCGAAATATGATGCAAAATTATCAAGATGCGATGGCTATTGTTCGTAAATATGGTAAACCAGATGTTTTTATTACAATGACTTGTAATCCAAATTGGCTCGAAATTAAAGAAAATTTACTTTCAAATCAACAACCTGCTGATAGACCTGATATTTGTGCTAGAGTATTTGATATAAAAAAAAAATTATTTGATAGATTTGATTGTTCGACAAAAATTTTTTGGTGAAGTAAAAGCATTCGTTTATGTAATCGAATTTCAGAAACGTGGTTTGCCGCATGTGCATATATTAGTAACTTTAAAACAACAATGCAAAATTATTAATTCGGAAACCGTTGATAAGTATATTTCTGCTGAAATTCCGGATCCTGCTATTGATCAAAATTTGCATGAAATTGTCATGAAAAATATGATTCATGGACCATGTGGTAATTGGTGTATGGTAAATGGAAAATGTTCAAAGCATTTTCCAAAATCTTTTCACGAGGAAACAACTATGGATGAAAATGGTTATCCACAATACCGTCGAAGAGACACTAGCATTTTGTATGAGAAACCTGGAGGATTTGTAGTAGATAATCGATTTGTTGTTCCTTACTGTCCAATATTATCAACAATTTTTAATTGTCATATTAATGTTGAAGTTGTTTCAAGTATCAAGTCAGTAAAGTATTTATATAAATATATTTACAAAGGTCACGATGCAGCATCTGTAGTTATAGAAGAAGATGTGAATAATATGGAAATTGTTCATGACGAAATCAAAGATTTTATTGAAGCACGTTATGTAGGACCAGTTGAAGCTTATTGGCGTATTGTAAATAAAATATTGCAAGAAAAAAGTCATGCCATCATTCGTTTACCTGTACATTTGCCAAGTGAACAAAATGTAATTATCTCTGATCATTTAAATGAACAAGATTTACAATCTGCTTTAGAACGTATAACAATGTTAATGGATTATTTTGAATTAAATAAACGAGATGTTGATGCACACCAATATGTATATACAGATATACCTTTATATTACGTGTTCAAGAAAGTAATTCTTGATGGAAAACAAATTAGTCGTTGGGAAAAACGTCAGAGTAAATTTAATTGTATTGGACGAATGTACTCAGTTAGTCCAACTGAAATTGAATTATTCCATTTACGTATTCTTTTATTGAATATTAAAGGAGCAACAAGTTATAATGCTTTAAAAACAGTTAATGGTGTATTACATCAAACATTTACTTCTGCATGTTTGGCTTTGGGTTTAATTGAAGATGATGATGAATGGAAACGTGCAATTAGCAAAGCTTCTATATGGATGATGCCAAGACAACTTAGGTATCTTTTTGTTCGAATACTAATGCATTGCCAACCATTGCATCCAAAAGAATTATGGAATGAATTTCAAGTTGCAATGTCCGAAGATTACATACGACGATTTGGACGAGTCATTGGAATAAAAAAAGCTTATGCTCAAATCAATCAATTACTTCGCAAAGAAAGTTGGAAACTTAAGCAATTTCCAGAAATGGAACAAATAAAGATAAAATATGAAGAAGAAGATGCAGAACAATTGCAAAGAGAAGCTTTATGTGGTCAGCAACAGTATAGCCAGTTAAATTATGGTCAAAAAAATGTTGTTGATTATGTTTTAACTCTTTTAACAAAAACTAACAGTCAACAAAAAAAATGCTTATACATTGACGGTCCAGGAGGTTCAGGTAAAACTTTTGTTTACACAACATTATACTATTTACTCAAATCTCAAGGCAAAGTTGTTAATACAATGGCTTTCACTGGTATCGCTGCAACATTACTACCAAATGGAAGAACAGCACATAAAACTTTAGGTTTGCCCGTACCTCTTTTTAATGATTCAACATCGAATATAAAAGTTCAATCCAAAGAAGCTGATTATTTAAAAAAAACAGATGTTTTTATTTGGGATGAAGCACCAATGGCACCGCGATATGCTCTTGAAGTAATGAATTGTCTCTTACAAGATTTAATGCATAATGATATACCATTTGGAGGAAAAATTGTTATTTTTGGTGGAGATTTCAGACAATTATTGCCAGTAAAACAAAATGCCACACGTTCTGAAACTGTAAATTTATCAATTAAATTCAGTTCATTATGGCAATATTTCAAAATTTTTTCATTAACAGAAAATATGCGTATTTTACCACATGAACAGGAATTTGCTCAATTTTTATTAGATTTGGGTAATGGTTCTCTAAATGATCAGTCTAATAATATTGAAATTCCATTAAGATGTGTAGCAAATTTAAATGCAAATATAACGAAAGATACATACGAAGAAATAATCAAACACAATCAGTATAGACTTGCAGCAAAACGTGTTATACTTTCTGCAAGAAATGTTGATGTGGATGAATTAAACAAACAAGTTGTAAATTTACTTGATGAATCAACAGAAAGAGTATACACAAGTATAGATACTACTGAAACTACTAATGATAATAATGATATTAATGAAGCTATTTTAACAGAATATTTAAATACTTTAAATCCAACAAATCTTCCACCTTATGAACTCCGATTAAGAAAATATACAATTATCATGTTGATTAGAAATCTGAATATCAGCGAAGGTTTGTGTAATGGAACAAGATTATTAATTTTAGAATTAGGAAATAATTTGTTAAAATGTGAAATTCTGACTGGTGATAAAAGAGGAGAAATTATCTTTTTAAATCGTATAACTTTATACTGTGAAGATGTTTACCCATTTGTATTTAAAAGAAGACAATTTCCAATTAAATTAGCTTTTGCTATGACCATAAATAAATCACAAGGACAAACATTTGATAAAATTGCAATCGATTTAAGAAAAGATGTTTTTAGTCATGGACAACTTTATGTTGCATTTTCACGAGTTAGATCTTGGGAATCATTAGAAATTTATTTAGGACAAGAAAAACAAAGTAGATTGGTTAAAAATTATGTATATACAGAAATATTTCAATAAGAATGCTGGTATTTTACAGTGTAAATTATAATTACTTTAAATAAATTATAATAGTAAATTTTATATTATATATACATATTTACAATTTTTTAATTTTATATTATATGTTATATATTTACAATTACAAACATTGTAATGATATATTTATCATTACAAACAGATATAAATTTTAATATATTATAATATAATATGTTTTATATATTTTTATTTCTTCGAAAGTGCATTCTGTGATGAAAAATGCTTTTTGAAAATGGATTATTCCATATTTCTTCAAGCATAACTCTGAGGATGCATTTTTACAATAGTAATTGTCGAATTACTTTTACAAAAGTAATTGTCAAATAAAATAATAGAAATAATTTATTTTGTACATATATGACAAGAAAAATTATTGAAACAATAAGTTAGAATTCAATATTTGTTTGCGCGTACGCTCGATTGCTGACGTTGAACGCTCACGCACGAAGCTACGGATCCTGACAATCGGGTTGTAAATCCGATCGTCGATATCGGTCTCGTGTATAGATTGCACAGGAAGATTCAAAGTGGACTGTATCTTAAGGAGGGTGGACGCGCTCCGATTGGTGCGCAGGATGGGTAACGATTTAAGCCACGTGCCGAATCGAGAACCAGAATACGGAATTATATGCACAAATTACACAAAAACAATCCATTTATTAACTAAATTTGTCCGAGAGTCACAATGTACATAAACGCAAATTAATTTGAAACCTTTACATAAAATCTTTATCTATTAACGAATAAAATAGTCACCGCGAAAACACGTACGACGTGGTTGTTAAGCAGTCCGAAATGTCTCACTATATGGTATCTAGCATGTGTTGCATGGACACCACCGAAAAACTATTTGTTGCATAACAATTGCTAGTTACGATGAACACGCTCGAAACTCGTGTATCGAATCGTTCGAAATCTCACATTAAGATTTCGTACACGTTGCCGATTGCGGCGAATGCGATATTAAATCGCGAACCGAAATGTTTCAATTAACATGGAGAATCACTGATCACATAAATGTTACAGTGCGTTGAGCACCACGGGCTCGAAGGGATGAAAAAAAGGAACGCAAACACAATCACGACATCAGGTATCAGTCCCAGATGACTGATCACGTGATCTGCGCGCTCCAACTCACGTGATCTACGCGTGCCAAGCGAACACGCGCGAGCCTCATGTATACAATTATTACGTTCGTGGAAACAATCGGACTTCGGCACCTTGATATTTCACCATTGCGTGAATTCTGGTCCCAAATCACTGAATTCCGCTTCGTTAACAATGTTTTGAGCGCAAATTTTATGTCGCGTATATAACGGCGCACCTTGTTGCTACCGTTAATTAGCGAATGTCAAAGTGAACGTATTTCACATCTCACTTATCACTGAATCACAGCAGAATATCAATCTGATTATTTTTTTATTAATCAAACGAACTACGAACAATTAGAATCGCGACGGAAAACCCACATGTGACTAATCGCAAAGCCGTGCCAGGAGCGAATGCCCAGGTTCGATGACGAGGCAGTTCATCCCCGATCGATTCGATAATCGAACGCTTGAAGCGCGGCGTGTAGGTTCAGTGCGTGCTGCCCCGTGCCGGATTAACTCAAAAATTATAGAATTTCAAATTATCGACCTACTTCTTCATTCTCTTTGAACAAATAATAAAGTTCTTGACCTGGGGTCAACTTACTTCTGAACATACCGCCCGCCTCGAAATAAAGATTTCGAAATGTCTTACAGTAACTAAAGAACTTACCCCAGGTTTGGGTTTTTTTTTTTTGTTACATAAAGAAAAAAAAAAAAAAAAAAAAAATAAAACGTTAATCGCTTAATGATTTTTCGAGTGAGATTCAGTGATTACATATTGAACAATAACAGGCATTTGGTTGCTTACATGATTGAATAACAATATTAAGACATAGATTCTTACTAAACTTACATTAACGCGACGCGAGTGGTCTTGAGTAGTCAAGGATATTGAGCGCCGCCCGCCTTAACTAACTACGAAGGACTTGACTTGTCCTAATTATGCGAACGATTGAGACGTTGCATGCGCATTATGGAGTTGGGTTTTCCGCAGTACCTGTCTTACGTTCCGACAGTTGATCGATTAAGTTAATATCGATAGGTAGTAGGCACAATTTAGTTACTGGTCGCTTGTATTCGGACGTCGCTGTTTTAACTGAGACGACTCGAGTTAACCCGTCAGAGCCCGGATGACAATGAATAACTCGCCCTAATTCCCATTTACACGGTGGGAGAAGGGGGTTTTGAATCAAAACCATTGAGCCAACCTGAATCGGAGGCGTTTCTCGACGCCACTTTGATCTTTGTTGAAGAGTATTGACATAATCTGACTGCCACTGCTTCCAAAAACGCTCCGTAATCTGTCTGAGTAATTGCCATCGCGACAATCTGTTTTCGTTCAATTGTAGAACGGAAGGTTCCGGATTCGTAGTAATGGCAGTCCCAATCAAAAGGTGACCTGGGGTCAGGAACTCGTAGTCATCTGGAGTATCATTGAGTGGAGAAAGCGGCCTTGAGTTGAGGATAGCCTCAATTTTGCACAACACTGTCGTGAACTCCTCAAATGTCAATGCGTGTGAGCTTACAATTCGACGAAGGTGGTGTTTGACACTCTTCACTCCTGCCTCCCATAGTCCTCCAAAATGAGGAGCATGAGGCGGGATGAAACTCCAAGTGATCCTATCTGTTGCGATTAAATTGAGAAAATCCGTATTGCGTTGAGCATCCCGATACGCGCGGGATAGCTCTTTATCGGCTCCTGTGAATGTTGTACCGTTATCCGAATACATAACTGCTGGCAAGCCTCGTCTGGCGCAAAATCGTTGAAATGCGTTCAAAAATGCTGGCGTTGAATAATCGCTGACCAACTCGAGATGAATGGCTCGAGTTGCCAAACATATGAAAACGGCTATGTAAGCCTTTCGTGAGGTGATTCCTCGACCAGCAGAGGCTCGAATGAGCACTGGACCGGCATAATCGATGCCGCTGTGCAAAAACGCCCTCGTTGGCGTTGAGACTCGAGTTGATGGGAGTTGACCCATTAACTGATTGGCTACCTGAGCTCTTTCTCGCGTGCATCGAACGCACCTGTAGATAACTGATTTAACTAAAGGCCTAGATTTTATAATCCAAAATTCTTGGCGAATTTTAGACAGGGTAGACTGAAGACCGGCGTGCAGCGAGGCTATGTGCGTGTAGCGAATGAGCATTGTAGTAATTGGATGATCAGCTAGTAGAACTGGATGTTTGGATTGAAATGGTAGATGAGAATGCTCCAATCTTCCGCCAACGCGGAGTAGACCATTTGCGTCTAGGAATGGATTTAATGATATCAGAGCGCTGTTTCTTGATAACCTCTTGTTTGACTTGAGTAAGTAAAGTTCTTGCTTGAACACCTCTGCTTGAATCATATGCAACCAAAAGTTACGAGACTGCATGTACTCAAATGCTGTAATGGCGTGGGACCGGACGTGATCTTTGTGATCTGCCGCGTGCTTCCGTTGACATTTGTTTATGAATCGGTATATATATGCAGTGACGCGTATCAATTTTGGCCACCATGAATACCGTGCAGCAAGACTCCAGTCTTCACGAGTACTGTTTTGATGAGCTTCACATGCCTTCAGTTCCAACTGAGTTTCGTGGTGCTCTGATAGAATTTGATGAGGCCACTCATCAGAATGAAGATGCAACCATGACGGCCCATGCCACCATAGGTTGATGGATATCAAATCTCGGCCGAGTAATCCGCGCGAAGCACAGTCTGCGGGGTTTTCACTGGTGTTTACGTGATGCCAACTACCGGTTGGTAATCGTGTCTGAATTTCGGCTACTCTATGAGCTACGAAGTTTTCCAATTTGAGGGGTGCTTCTTGAGCCATGCGAGAACTACAGTGGAGTCTGTCCAACAATAAATCGCAATGTCGCTTAAATGAAGTGACTGCTTGATAAAGTCAATCAAGCGAACTAGCAGAACGGCAGCAGAAAGTTCGAGGCGAGGAACCGTCATTGGTTTAAGAGACGCGACTTTAGATCGCCCAGCAATGAGCGAGACCGTAATTTTCCCAGAGGAGGATGTCACGCGTAAAAACACCACTGCTGCGTAAGCGATTGTGGATGCGTCCGCGAACCCGTGTAATTCCACAGTTGCCGTTCCGGACTCAAAACCTGTCCAGCGACTCAGTTGAATTTTTCGTAGATAGGGTAATGACTCGTAGATAGACTTCCAGGATGATAAGATTTCGTCCGGAATAATGTCGTCCCATCCGATACGGTGTCGCCATAATTGCTGCATGAGAGTTTTCGCCTTTAAAATCGCAGGTGTGACCCACCCGAGCGGGTCGAATAATCTTGCTATTGTTGATAGAATTGCTCGTTTGGTGTTAGGAACAGTTTCAGATAATGTAATTTGAAACTGAAAGCAGTCATGTTTCGGGTTCCAGACAATACCGAGGATTTTTAGACTGTCATCAGTCTCCAAATTTTTTGCGTAAGCCAATCCATGATTGTCAGGCTGAATATCTGAAAGCAATTCTGAGTGGTTACTGGCCCATTTCCGGAGATCGAAACCACCACGGTTCAGCAAATTACAAAGTTGAGTGCGAGCTTGCTTTAACAGTGTGATATCGTCTGCACCAAATAATACATCATCGACGTAGATGTTTTCTCTTAGGATGGGAGAGGCTAACGGAAATGAATCTCCCTCGTCACAGTTCAATTGTTGGATTACTCGAAGAGCAAGAAACGGTGCTGACGCAGTGCCGTAAGTAACGGTAAGGAGTTGATATTCCTGTATAGTTGAGTTGTGGTCGACCCACAGTATCCGTTGGTAGTCTCTATCTCTAGGATCGATTAATATTTGGCGATACATTTTAGCGATGTCCGCAGAATATACATATTTATATTGCCTCCAGCGCAATATAACTGCTTGTAGATCGGACTGCAATTTTGGGCCGGTGTACATGTGAAAGTTGAGAGACGTTCCATTGGATGTGAGGCAGGAGGCGTCGAACACGACTCTTAAACGGGTTGTCGAACTTGTCTCCTTGATGACTGGATGATGAGGTATATAGGTCGCTTGAACATTATTTGAATGCAAAGGAGCGACTTGCTTCATATGATTTAATTGCTCATATTCGCGCATGAAGTCCAAATATTCTTGTGCAAGTGTGGGTTGACGAGCAAATTTACGAATTAGCGACGAAAGTCGGCGTTCAGCTATGCTGCGAGAGTCGCCTATTTTAATAGGCGGGCCCTCTTTAAAAGGGAGTCGCACGACATATCTGCCATCTGCTGTTCTAGTATGCGTGCGTTGAAAGTGATCCTCGCATTGTTTATCTTCTATGGACGCATGAACATGTTGAGGAGTTTCTTCAACCTCCCAAAACTTACATAATTGCCGTTCCAAGGAGCAGCAGTGAGCAACTGCATGATACCTTTGTTGTGAACTGGGTAATGGTGAGCCTTGAGGTTGGGCTCCGACATGCGATGAAACCAAAGTAGAGCCGACTACATGGGTGTTTTGTATGACATGATTAGGGATTGACGTAGGTCCAGATAGAATCCACCCGAAATGCGATTGTATAGCGTCTGGTTGACCTATGGGTCCATTGCGTATATTGACAAGAACCTTGCTATACAAATCAGCTCCAATAATGAGGTCAATAGGAGTTGATCCAGTCGGATCGTCATCCGCTAAGGTCAAGTGGAGATGTGTTTCCAGTCACGTAATGACGAAGCGTGTCTGGGAGCATACTTCGTCAATGCTCTCATGATGTAAGCTACCGTGGTGAAGGTTGGCTCAGGTTTATCGCGAGGCGAAATATTAATTAACGCGGCAGATCGGCATGTACCGGTATCTGCACAGCTAATCCCCGAAGTTGAAGTAAATGTTTGCATACGAGGTAAGCGTAAAATTTGCGCTACGCGTTCCGTAAGAAATGTGAGTTCTGAACCACCGTCAAGTAAGGCTCTGACAGTTAAGGAACGTCCAGAAAGCGAATGTATTTTCACCGTTGCCGTAGACAACACCACAGGAGTCGGTGATGTAGTTAACGTGACCGCTGAAAGCGCTGTGACATTTGATATATTAGTAACATTCTGCGAACTCGATGACGCAGGAATGCTCGTTGTTTGTTGCAATGAGCCCGAGTCAACGTGGATCATTGTGTGATGCCGCTTGCTACATTTGCGACACGTGAATTTACTCTGACAATTAAGTGCTACGTGCTTATCGCTTAAGCAATTGAAACATCGCTTAAGTTTCTTTATCAATTCGCGTCGTTGATCCGTGCTCATTGAAAGAAATTGTTGACACTTAGAGAGAAAGTGAGATTGTTTACAAATTGGACATGACAAATTAACTGACGCAGTTGCGGTGGCGCTTGTCACTCTCGAATGTGACTTCGTTTTATCGTGTTCGTGAGGATGGAGTTCCTCAAGCGCTATAGCGCGCGAAGATATGAAACGTATCAAGTCTTTGTACGTTGGAGGATTTTCGTTATCGCTACTCTTCAATTTCCACGCTCGACGCGTAGCAGAATCAAACTTTTGTGAAATGAAGTATACTAATATATCGCTTACAATATCCTCTGCTGTACGATCAAGACGTTTCAATGTCGCTAACGCTTGTTCCGTTTTATCTCGCAACTCGTGAAGTTCTGACGCTGATTCGCGAGTCATCTTTGGAAGATGATATAAGGTCGACACATGTACTTCGATCAACCGTCGTTTGTTCTCGAAACGCGTGGTTAACGCTTTCCACGCGACCCTAAAATTTTCGGCGGTTACTTTGATTCCTGATATCGCATCGCGGGCCGGACCTGTCAAACTAGAGATCAAAAAAATGCATACGAGTGAAATTTGACAATTCTTTGTTATCTATAATCAACGACTGAAAACGGTCGCGAAAGGTCTCCCAATCCTCGTTTTTTCCAGAAAAAGGCGGTAATTTAATAGGAGGGAGATGCTTTAACGAGAATGACGATGCGTCCATTTGCGCAAAAGAATTTTCGAGGGATGTATCTCGACTTACGACAGGAACCAGGTCTTCTAGACATTCGTTCATATGATCCAGGGCTGATTGATAGAGATCTTCGTGAAGGTCGAATTGATTCTTCTTGAAATAATTAATTGACCTTGATCATCCTCTGGAACAAGTTGAAGCAGAATGGTGTGTGATGTGCACACCTTGAGTCCATTGAGCTTGTAAAGTCGCAATCCGTGAGCGAAACCCTTGCGGCCGTCAAATTAGAACGACCAATCTTTTTGAAATTGTCGAGAGCTCGAGCAATTGAGTGGAAGATAGTTTGCTGATTGCAAGAGCGTCTTCCATTTTGACACTATAGTTGTTTATGAATATGTCACTAACACGATTGTCTACTTAAACGCGATTACTTGACTGACTGTCTCTCGAATCACGCTGCACTTAAATATCACTGGTGTCCTTAATTCAGTGTTCTCGATTCGTCATTACTCTCCTATCCGGCTCGAAGGACCAAAAATGTTGCGCGTACGCTCGATTGCTGACGTTGAACGCTCACGCACGAAGCTACGGATCCTGACAATCGGGTTGTAAATCCGATCGTCGATATCCGTCTCGTGTATAGATTGCACAGGAAGATTCAAAGTGGACTGTATCTTAAGGAGGTGGACGCGCTCCGATTGGTGCGCAGGATGGGTAACGATTTAAGCCACGTGCCGAATCGAGAACCAGAATACGGAATTATATGCACAAATTACACAAAACAATCCATTTATAACTAAATTTGTCCGAGAGTCACAATGTACATAAACGCAAATTAATTTGAAACCTTTACATAAAATCTTTATCTATTAACGAATAAAATAGTCACCGCGAAAACACGTACGACGTGTGGTTGTTAAGCAGTCCGAAAGTCTCACTATATGGTATCTAGCATGTGTTGCATGGACACCACCGAAAAACTATTTGTTGCATAACAATTGCTAGTTACGATGAACACGCTCGAAACTCGTGTATCGAATCGTTCGAAATCTCACATTAAGATTTCGTACACGTTGCCGATTGCGGCGAATGCGATATTAAATCGCGAACCGAAATGTTTCAATTAACATGGAGAATCACTGATCACATAAATGTTACAGTGCGTTGAGCACCACGGGCTCGAAGGGATGAAAAAAAGGAACGCAAACAAAATCACGACATCAGGTATCAGTCCCAGATGACTGATCACGTGATCTGCGCGCTCCAACTCACGTGATCTACGCGTGCCAAGCGAACACGCGCGAGCCTCATGTATACAATTATTACGTTCGTGGAAACAATCGGACTTCGGCACCTTGATATTTCACCATTGCGTGAATTCTGGTCCCAAATCACTGAATTCCGCTTCGTTAACAATGTTTTGAGCGCAAACTTTATGTCGCGTAATATAACGGCGCACCTGTTGCTACCGTTAATTAGCGAATGTCAAAGTGAACGTATTCACATCTCACTTATCACTGAATCACAGCAGAATATCAATCTGATGATTTTTTTATTAATCAAACGAAACTACGAACAATTAGAATCGCGACGGAAAACCCAATGTGACTAATCGCAAAGCCGTGCAGGAGCGAATGCCCAGGTTCGATGACGAGGCAGTTCATCCCCGATCGATTCGATATCGAACGCTTGAAGCGCGGCGTTTGTAGGTTCAGTGCGTGCTGCCCGTGCGGATTAACTCAAAAATTATAGAATTCAAATATCGACCTACTTCTTCATTCTCTTGAACAAATAATAAAGTTCTTGAACTGGGGTCAACTTACTTATGAAACAAATTTATATAAAATATCTAAAAGAAAATAACAAAGTATGTTAAAATTAAACATAAATTAATTTAAAATTATATTAAATATTATT